GAACCAGCAAAAAGGTATAAAGATTCAATGTGCACCTTGCCCTAAGAAGGTAGACAGACTGTCAACAAATGAGACTGCAGTTGTAAATATCAAAGAAACCAAGTCAGCCAGAAGCACACTCTCTTACACATTGCTAGTTACCAGCTGGACTACAGCTTTCTATTTCACATTTGCACCCTTTTTCTAGGAGTTCCTGAAATTCTTTCCTTTTGTTTCCTGATTTCACATATGCCAAAACATCCTTACAATATTTCCTTCAAGTCACCCTTTTTGCAAAAGCTTTTTCTACTAATTTCAGAAGAATTTTACAATGTTCTGAGACCAGAACTTTCACTGGTAATTGATCCAGTTAAATACAGAGAGAGAAGACAGGTACTGAGTTTTACACTTTTCTTATGCTGAAGCAAGACTACTGGCGGCAGTAGAAGCAGATCTATCAAAATTTCCGTAATTAAACCCCCAGGTATGGGGGAGATAGATACTCACTTTAGGTGCTCCATCCTTCTGAATGCCTACATCATTAGTTGCTATCCCTTTCACGCTACCGTCTTCATGAAAAAGAACCTTTGGAAATATTTAAACAAACAAACAAAAACCATTTTAATGATCTGTCATTTTAATCCATTCATTAAAAGTTCTAATGCAGAACTTCTAAGCACTATGACTTTAATGGTCAAACATGAAGATTATGTATTTAGTCACATACTGTATGATCCACTTGCACTTTGCTGGATCTGAACCAGGGAATTTAGACATTGAAACATCGTTTTCACAACACATATCTGTTTAAAGGAATGTTGTGAATGTACAAATGATTGTGATTGCTCTGAAGAGTGTTTCAAACCAACTTTTCATATACACACACTGATGTCATGAGTACCTCAGCTGCTGCATAGCCTGGATATATCTCAACACCCAAAGCTTCTGCTTGTTCACCTAGCCAACTCACAAAGTGGCCCAGACGTACTATGTAATTTCCATGATTAACCATCGGAAGTCCTAGGCAAAAAAAGACACACACACATAAAACATAAGACACTAGACAAAATAACTGATGCTGTATACATCAGATGTCACATCTTCTACAGCTACTATCTTCAAAGTAATGTCATGTGTTATCACAGCCATCATACACATAGACTGTGTCCCTGTAAGCTATTACATTCTACATACACTTTCTCTATTACACTGAATCAAACTTGTTTGATTCATGCAAAAGTTGAAAAACACACAGTTGACTCTCTATTCCCTCGCGAAACTTTACCTGGAAGAATTGGCACCGGAATTCTAGATGTCTCTGTTAAAATTCCAAACTTGTCTTCAGTTACAGGAGTTTTAAGCGGAGCCTACAAAGAAATGAAATAGAGAAAGGAGAGAGTTATGTTTTTCTAGCAATTCAACAAAAACAACAACAAACAAAATCAAACAATTGAACTGGCAGTCAAGTACAGGTTAAGTACACCACTTCTGTAGGAAGGTACCACAAGAAAGAAGACAAAGTATTTAATGAGGCAGTCATCAGGCAAGAATCAACACTCAATATTCTAGACCTCTCTAAAGAAGATAGCTCAACTTGCACATTTACCACAATAGGACAAAACAACTAGTTGATGTCTAACTTCTTGCAGCTCCCAGGTCATAGCAGGCAACTGGTTGCAAGTCAGTGAGAATTGTTCTGCTAGAAAGGATAGCTTATTTTCTGCTATTCTCCTTCCTAAAATCATCTTAGGCCTTTGTTACACCACAGTGTCTGCACAGAAGTGAGAGCACTGGGTGCCATTTCCATGAAGAACTATTGTACAGAAGCAACAAGGCTGTCATTGGTAAGAACCGAACACCTTCCTGCTTGTACACAGGAGCTGTATCTGCACAAAGGCAGAAAGTGCAGGTCACCCCAGGATGCACCAGGCATATTGTGCATATGCAGTAAGACTGCTAGAGAAAAGAGCAAAAGCCACCGCACATCTGTATAGACACAAAACTTCTAGCATTGTCGAACTAGGGACAACAGACTAAAATGAAGACAGTAGGTTTTTTTTTTTGTTAGATCTATGTATTTCATAATGGTACTAATTACTAATGGTACCAGGTACTAAGTCATACCAGAATGAGTCAGGTATGAAGCTCATTACAAGCCAGTAATTAATTTCAGTGTTTACGTGCTCATACATACCCCTCGCTCCTTCCAGTCTGGAAAGAGTTCTTCTAAGGACCTTGGCTCAAGGCAGGCACCAGACAACGTATGGGCACCAATCTGAGAAGCCTTTTCCACCAGACAAACACGTATTTCTTTGCTATGCTCAGCAGCCAACTGTTTGAGTCGAATAGCTGCAGAAAGGCCCGCAGGGCCTCCTCCAACAATGACAACATCAGCTTCCTCTGCAAATCTTTCCATGTTTACCCCTTCAATAGAAAAAAAATGATAATAACATAGACCAATCTCCAACCACTTCCAACCTCTCTCTCACTAAACCTAAACTCTCATGTTAAGAACAATGGAAAAAAACCCTAGTAGATACATACTGAACAGAATTAAATCTTCTGGTAATCACTAAACTAAAAGCTGCTTGTATATTTTATGAAAACAAGCATAAAGTTAAATCTGATCCTATTTTATAGCACTAAAGACACCAATTTTGAGATAGTAACCAAAAATTTCATTGGAAATATCAGTACAGTACAGAAATTCCATAAAAAGAAAAAAAAAGCAACATATTTCAGTGCCTTTAAAACTGAGCAATAATAATAATAAAAATAAATAAGCATTTAAAGAATGCAATTTTTCACTTACCTTCCCATCGTTTGTCTTTGTCCCGAGGATGAATTGTATAGTGTGTAGTTATGCGAGGCACAGAGGCAGTAGATGCACATCTTGAGACACGCAGTGATGGAAGGCAGTCTGTCTTTATCAGCTTAAGAGCACGAAAGCACTGACGTGCTGCAAAAACAAGAAACAAATTTGTCAAGTCATTTTTTCCAAGTGTTTAAAATTTTCAGGGATGCAAGTGGCACAACAAATATGACAGCTTCCCCTTCCCAAAGGCTACCAGGTGATATGAACATGAGGAACAATAAACATGGATTTTTTAATTTTCGAGTTAGCAGTATGCTGTATAACTTTATATCGGGGAAAAAATAATTAAAGAGCTTCCCCTTTAAGCATTTTTCACATAGTATCACTCAATACACTGGTCAGCCATACACAGCTGATACAGGATAACATGCGTGTACAGAGGTGAAACACGTTTTTATTTCCTATTTAAATTTGAACTTCAAAAGATTTCTTTCAGACTTCATCAAAAGTGACCAAACAATTGAGAGACGGGACATGAAAGTTCAGCTCTTCTGACATCCCAACACACGTTGAGACACACAGTTTGGGCTACTAGTACAACATAGTTAATTTAAAGTAAATGTCATGCTCTACACTAAAAGCACAGACTTAAACCCAAGTATGCTTTAGCCAAAACTAGGAACAGTAGATACAAGTAATCTTTACCTTTGCTGCAGATACATTAATTGTTGCAAGAACAAATTAGAATTTGTCAGCAAACAGACCAAATTAAAGCTTCAAATTATTAAAAGAGGACTCTGTTCAGAGGGCTATTACATGTCATAATTTTCCTCTTTCACAAAAAAATAATATATCTGTGTGATTTGTAGTAAAAAAAAAAGTTGTATGGTTAGTATGAAAACTAGTTATAGTTAAAAGGTATCTGCACTAATGCACCTTGACAGATCATTTTCCTTCCTTTAAGAATCCTCTTTCTCTGTTTTCAGAGGCAAAGAAGAATATCACATTTAAAGTAGAGTATTTCTGCAAAACTACACAAGTGAAATGCACATTCTATGACGTAAGTATTTTGTAGAGAATGGTGATTGGCAAGGCAAACGCAAACATCCTATGTTATAACTCTGCCCAGCGACAATCAGCATACAGGTGTCTATATGCAAGGTACGAGGTATTATCCATGTTGGTTTCTTAACAGCAATTCTGTACCTAACCAACATAACAGAAAAGCTATCTATTCTTATTTTTCCTTTACCTGCAACCAGGTAGGATCTGAGAACAAGTATTTTATAGGCATGATATAAAACCACACCTACACATATACATTAAACCATGAAACTTTAACTTAACTTTTGAGACATTTTTATTTGAGCAGAACTGATGGTACTAAGAATCACATAGTATATTAAAAAAAAAAAAACAACAAAACCCAAAACAAACACTTATTCCACACATACACAAAAGAAGTGACACCCGGCTCAGAACATGTCTGATAATTACAAAGATAGGTTCAAACGCCGGACGGGCAGATTCTTCCCCCGTGAGCGACCCAAGCCTGTGCCACAGCGCTTACTGGCAGCTCCTGGCCTTGGAACGTGATGGGAAATGCCTGCACGAGCCAAGCGATCCCCCAAAAAACCCTGCTCTTCCGCAGCTCTTTAACAGCACCTGTCAGGATGCCGTCTCACACAACTCAGTAAGGGCAGGCGTTCCATTGCTTTTCTTTACCCTTCAGAACAGGTTAACAACGCTCAAAAAAAAAAAAAAAAAAAAAAAGAGAAAAAACCCGCAGATCGCTTCACGCACCGCGCTGCAGGTAAATAAAACACGTCACTCCCGCCCACGGACAGAGGCCCCGGGCAGAGGGAGCCCCGGGGGCCCCGCGCCCGCCGGCCCCGCTCCAGCCCCGCGTCCGCCCGGACACCCGGGCGCGACCCAGCCGCGACCTTTGCTCTCCTCGGCGCCGCGCCAGCCGCCGGCCCCACCCGCCCCGCCGGGCGGCCGCCCCAGCTCCAGCTCCAGCTCCAGCCCCGGCCCCCGGGGCGCCCCGCCGGCCCCGGTGCGGCGCGTTGCGTTACCTCGGCCGGCGGACGGGCAGCGGTACAGCGGCATCGCGGCGCACCCCGGGATCCCTCCGCCTCCCGCGATCACCCCGCGCCTGCCTCGGACCCGCCGCGCCTGCGTGCCCGGCCGCGGTCCCGCCCCCTCCCGCCGCGGGACTACGGCTCCCAGAGCTCCCAGGGCGCTCCTCGGGGAGTCGGGGCGGAGCGATCCGCTCGCCGGGCATTGGCGCGGGAGGCGCTCGCAGGGAGAGGCAGCGCCGGGGGCGGTGCTCGGGCGGGAAGGCGCGGAGCGGGAGGTGCTGGAGCGGCGAGCGGGACATGGCCGAGGCGGGGCCGCCGCCGCCGCCGCCCGCGGCGGTGCCCGAGGGAGCGCGCGGAGCCGAGCCCCAGAGGGTCCGCGGTGGGAGCGAAGGGTCGGTGCCGCCGGAGCTGCCCGGCGGCGACACACGGGAGCTGCTGGAGGAGGTGGAGCTGCAGATCGGCGACGTGAGTGCCGGCTCGGGTCCCCCAGGGAGGGCGCCGGGGGTGCCCCTGTGGGGTGGGGGGTGGAAGAGGTTACCGGGCGCCAGCGACCCCCAACCTCTGTGCTCTTCCTCCAGGCCGCCTTCTCGCTGGCGAAGATCCTGGAGGCGACGTCGGCCGTGTCGGCCCAGGTGGAGGAGCTGGCCACCAAGTGCTCGGAGAACGCCCGGTTCCTCAGGACGTGGCGGGACCTGCTGCGGGAGGGGTACGAGTCCCTGAAGCCCAGCGGGTGAGGCTGAGGCTGAGGCTGACCGAGCCACGCCGGGTCACTCCGAGCTGCCCGCCCGTATCGAACTGCAGCGGGAGTTCTTTTAAAACACCTTCTTTAGGGAATTCACGCGGAGTTTTGTTGTCCCTCAGCGGCTCCCCGTAAGCCTGGATTTTTTTCAGAAATACTTGATGACTCGTGTGGATGTCGTATGTAAAGAAAACTTTGTTTAGGGAATAAGTTTTGACTTCTAGACTCGTCATTGCAGCTTAAGCGATCTCATACTCTCCCGCCTTTTTTTTTTTTTTTTTTCTGTGCTAACATGGTAGATGCAAAGGTACATTCAGAACTCATTACTTGTGGGGAAGTGATGTCCTGTGAGGAGGTATTGTCAGCCCTCCGTGTTAGGAGCTGTCACCAGCAGAAACCCTGCCAACTTCAGAGAAACTTGAACTCACTTTTTTTTTTCTATGCACAATTTTCTTCATGTTGTGGAATGGATAATATGGCAAGTTGTGGCTTATTTATGAGCTTTAGAAAAATCCTATATCCCAGACCTCACTATTTTTAGCAATATTGTGATGTCTGTCTATCAAGCTGCAGATTTTTTGCAAGAAGTTTTACTATTGCAAACTATTTTACATTATCTTTTATTGTAATAAAGTGCCTTATGATGGACCACATATCTCTGCATGGTAGAAGTTTGACAGCATTGTTTACTGACAGGATGGATTACTTTGAACTATCAGGAAAAGCTTCCATCAGTTAGAAAAGAATCTGCAACATGTATTCTCCCACCGCTCAGGAAGCACCTCAGAGCTTTTTCAGTATTTGGTCCTATTTTTTTATCTTTGCCTTAAGCAGTTTGTTAGCCTAGACCTTACTGTTATCAGAACCTTTTGGTCTGAAAGAACACTAATTGGTAACTGAAACTCCTGTGCCACGCAGGGCACTGTGGAAAAAAGTAATGCTGAAGTACAAGGGCAGGCTGCAGGATAATATGACTCTACCACGATTCATTAGTTGGCTTTATTCTTACTGGTAGGAGTCTTAGAAAGACCAACTGTAGTTTACTTATCAAAATAATAAAGATGATACCAAAATTCTGAAGTATTGACTATTCTTCTGTTACTGATAGAAACAAAGATGACATTGACTATAACCATAATCAAGTTAAGTGAAAAACAGGTAGTGGTAACGACAGGGATCCTTGCATGTCTCATCAAAGGCAGTTACAGTCCTTGAGAGGGCTTGGCCCCTCAGAGTTGTGAAAGTTTTATTAAATTGAGGTTTAATTGCCCTGATTAAAGGCAATCCACGTGGCCGGACTTCACTTAGCTGTTTCTAACCCCAGAACCCAAAATGTTGCTAAACAGCTTGGAAAAGAAGTCATTTTGTTCAGCAGATAATATTTTATTTCAATAAAACATACAGTAGTGGAAACAAGATGTTTAACAATCTTCAATTTCAAGATAATCCAAAGTTCTGTAAACAGTTGAAGTGTGAGTCACACTTTTTCAAAATTCTACTTCTTATACTGTTAAGAAGTTAAGTGCAAACATTGGAAGTAGCTTTTAACTTAGTTTTAAATAGTTTTAAATCATCAATGCAAAAAAAGCATTTCTTTTACCTTTGTGGGCTTCTAGGCCATCAGACTGAGTACGGTACTGAAAGAAGAAGGGAAGTTGTAATAATTCATAATGGAAAATATTCTCTTCAGTAAGAATATGTGAAGGAACTGTCTCTAGAGGACTGTTTCACGTGGGATAAGTTTTTTTTTGGGTTCTTTTGACCCTTGTTATTCTGGGAAAAAATAATTCTCCAAAAACTGCTGAATGGCTGTGGTCTTGAAGTTTTAACTATAATGCATTCAGTCAGATGCACAAGGTGATTAAAATGTAGATGTCATGACACCCGTTAAGACTAATAGTTTTCTAAATGGTTGTCTCCCACATACAGAGAGACATCTTAAGACAGATGTTTGTTGAAGTCTGCAAGCTGTGGTGAGCTACTTATGGTAGCCCATTGAGAAAAGTGAGGAAAAGAGCAGCATCAAGATGCTGGGATACTCAGTCCAGTCTTTCCAGGAAAAGATACTCTTCTGAAGATAGAAACTTCCACCAGCTATAGCTGGGGGACACTCACTTGGGAAAAAACCCTTAATTTTTTTCTTTGCCACAGTTCTAGTTCTGCCCCATGTAGAATCATAAAGATCATCTAGTCCCAACCACTCCCTGCCCTGGGCAGGGACACCTCCCACTAGTCCAGATTACTCAAGGTCTTGTCCAGCCTGGCAACTATATTAGAACTATCATTACAACTTCAGAATTGTCCTTACATGAGTGAAATAGCTGGTAAAATTATAGAAAGAATACAATTTTCACTTGTTTTGGTCTGACCATTTAGGAAACTGAAATATTTTTTGTAAACCTATTGCTCCCTAACGCTTTTTAAGAGCTAATGCAGCCTACATAGAGACAGCCACAATTCTGAAGTGAAAACACGTTTCATAATTTCTTAAAAAAATTAAGCTGGGGGATTAAAAACAAACAAACAAAAGAATAACTTCCTCCCCCACTCACTTCCCCATAAACAGATGATTTTGAAACAGTCTGCTTTCAGAGTGAGATGTTTTAAATGAAAATTTTTTTTTCCACACTCCTGGCTTCTAGAAGGAAAAATTCCTGAACAACTATTTCTCATTCTGATCTAGGATGAATTGTCAAAACGTCAGGTACTGCTGTGAGATGGTAAAGTTATTGTTGTGTCAGTTCTATCTACACCCAGACATATTGCTCCCTCTTCTTCCTGCAGTGGTTCTCGTGAGCCCAGGTGTCACACCTCCCTCATTTTTCCTCATTGCTGTAAAGGAGTAAGCCCACGGACATGAAGCTAACAGTGCCGATGTCACCATGAGGATTCAAAATGTGTTTACGTGTATGAATTTAGTCTTGTCGACTGTGTAGTCACTGAAGCATCGGAAGAGTCTGTACAAAGCACAGGCTTCGTAACCTTTGGCGTGATTTCATGCATTGGCCACATCTCTACCCAAATGAATGATGGACCATATGTTTTCTGGCTGCCTTTACCTCTTTTGGATCTTCTTTGTCTGTAGTTGTGCCAAACCTGATGAATCATTTCTTTAAAAGGTCGTGTAGTCAAAGTGTAGAGAAGAGGATTCAAAGCACTATTTATTGGCAGTATAAAAATCACCACCCAAGAAGTTATGGTACCTTAGGGAGGGAAAAAGAAAGGCAGCTGTAAAAAGCATTCCAGAGTTTGTACCCATTAATTAACACAAGCACTTGATGCCTCTGCAGCACAGCTTCCTGGTGAGAGGGGTGGTCATGCTCTTAGGCTGAGCTCCTGTCACAACAGGTACTTTTCTTTTTCTTCTCACTGCCCTCTTACCTCCCTCCGTTTCCAGGACTCCCTGCAAAACCTGACTTTTTTTATTCTCCCGGTATTTCTATTTATCTATTTCTTTATCTATTTATCTATTTATCTTACTCTTCTGTGCCGTAGCTCCCTTTTTGCCCTGGCAGACTTGTTCTGGCTGAGCCCATTTTTTTACCCCAAAACTTTTTGTCTGTGCTTTGTTCCCTATCTCTTCCCGTGATCTCTGTTCTCCATCCTCTTCCCATGATTAGTGGCATGCAGTCTTAACGAGGTCCCCGATATCCTATCCTTCTGCAAAACAGTATCGTCCAGTCCCTGTATTTCCTTAGAGACTGGTTTTCTCTTCTGCACCAGGACTACTACTTTCCTTCCCCTGCAAAGGGCACTGTATAAATCCTCCTTTTCTTCTTTTCCTGTTGGCAAGAGTTTCTGTGTTCACACCCTCTGCCTATGTCAGTCTGCATTTTTACAATATCCCCTTCTCATCCTTACTGTTTGGGAGATAAGTTACCCAAGGAAGAGGCAGAGGAGGGACAGGATTAAAGTGCTAAAAATTGTTAGTGGTTGCCCTCCATTGCATTGTTTGATTTATAAAACTATTATAGAACTGTTCCAAGAAGCACAAAAAAATTAAGTCACTCTCCCTCTGTAACACCCCTCTCCATCCCCAGTTTTACAACTTTGTTGCAATATCAATACAGTCCTGTCCCTGCCTACCTGGCTACAGTTTTGGAAAACAGCAGATGCTAAAGCTGTCACAGTGTATCCCCAAAGTAAAACAAATGCTATCAGATAGAGTTTAAAACTTCTGTGAACTCAGCTAGCCGTGATGTCTTTAATTTTATGAAATGAGTAATGACTGTTTAATCTGGTTTATCTAATGCAGAACTTCATTTACCGAACCAAAGATCACTCTGCAATTCATCAAGATTTCTTCAAGGTTTCTTTTCACAGAATACATCTGCTTCTACTTTTCACAATATTTTCTTTCAGATATCCTAAGTGGTTTGATACCTTCACAAAGAAGCATTCTAGAAGATTTTAAATAACTGAATATTTGACATAATCGGCATAGTTTCCAGATATTTGAAACAGAAGTCAAAACTTTGAAAAGGCAGCTCCCAAAGCTCTCTTCTTGGTCAGCACATATGGCAAAATGCTCTGGGCTACGCCACTTTCCTGCAAACAAAATATTGTGGCATACATCTGTACACTGAGTCTGAATCCGCTGTTGCTGATTGCTCACATGATCGTGCTCACATGTTCTTTCTAACAGGGTTTACAAACCCCACACAAAGAGGCTCCTTTTCTGGCACGTACTGGTATTGCAAAGAGAAGGAAAAAGTAAGATGCAATTTTTAATCTTTTAGGTTATGCTATTTCTAAGTGGGAATATATTCACAGCATGAAGAAGGTAGGCAGAGCTTTATAGAACCTAATGTTCTGAACTATAATTACCACTTTGTAAAATAAAGTTATTTCAAAGTAAGAGTTACATAGTTAAATCAAGGTAGGAAACACTATAATGTCCTGAGACATATTTGGGCAACAGAACCAGCGAAAGTCATAAAATGAGCAACTCAGCCTTGGTTTTCAAATACATTTTGTACATTTTATAGATATTATATGGAGAGTGACTTGAGTGATTTGAAGTTTTTTATCTGACTCATAGGTGGTTAATCTTTGATGATTATAGTAATATAGTACAATTAAATAGTAAAGCTGTATAGTCCATTGGATTCTGTGTACATATTTGTAGATATAAAACATGAAGTTATTAGTAATATAGCTCATTTTATCAAATTCTTCCGAAGTAGAAGCAACATTCACACAGGCACAGTTGAAACAGCCTCACAAAAGAAATTACATACCTGGTATTTCTACTTGAAGTAAAGAAAGGAGCTTCAAAATAAAAATAGGTATCCAACATAGTGCATCAGTAAATACAATGAAGAAAAAGCGTTTAGCAAGGATCATCTCTTTTTTAATATGATTCCGAATTTCAGTAGCCATAATAGCTGTTTGGTGAACACTGTAGAACATACTCCCGTAGGAAAACACAATGATGATAAAAGCTGCCAAGTTCACACCTGTTTAAAAGTTAAAATTAGTTATAATTTAACAGCATAATGGCAATTCTACATCACCTATTTGCAATCTAGGTAGTAAAGAAATATATTTTGTCTAAACTTTAGTCCCACAGAATGAGATGGCCAGAAAATTTGAGCCCTCACCTCAAGACTGAATTTTTACCTCCACTCAGGTATTTATTTCTGATCCAACCTCCATAGTTCTCCCCTGGTCTTACTATTGCTCTACTTTCCTAAAAATATCTATTAATTCAGGAACTTCATGGTCAATAATTTCTTTCTATTTTTCCATCCCTCCACGCATTTTATAATCTAATACATTAAACCTAATACCCCTAACACCCCTAATACATAGTCCTTAAGTTCTTGCTGAACATCTAGATCCAAGGAGGTGTGAACATCACAGCTATCTTATTTGTTTGAAAACTAGGTTCAATAGCAGCTCTCATCATATATAAAGAAGGAATGCAACTTACCTAAGAAAATGACAACAGAATAAATCTGACTTCCTGAACTTTCTGATTGTTCTGAGTGAAGAGGAAAACAGACGCCATTGGTGCCATAGTAGTTCCTGAAAAATTCCTTATTGCTCAGAGGGATAAAAGCAACAGCAAACCCAAT